GTCGTTATCCAAGGTACAGCCAGGCATAGTCATGTCCATATAAAAATAGATAGTGGTAAATATCACTCACTCACTCACTCACTCACACACACACGCGCGCACGCGATTTTTTTTTTTTTAAGCAGAATTCTAACAGCGCATGCCTATGGGTCGTCAGGGGTAGGCAAAAAGGCGGAACGTGTTAGAAAAAAAAACCTATAAAAGCAAGTAAACGCCGCATGCCCAGACCTCCAAACCTCGACAGGGCGTACGAATTTTGGATCAGGCGCCCAGGTCACAGCGTGTGTTCAAGAGGATCGGGAGCGAGTACGCCATCTTTACGAGGGCACCTGCTAGCGTCACTAAAGGAAAGTGCACGGCGACGCGACGTCTAGCCGAGTGGAGCGCTGCGTGACTTTGCATACGAGTGTGTAGGGCGCCGTCATTCGAAGGCGGTGGTGTAGTCTTCACAGCGACCTCTCGGGGCGCAATGGATAACGAAGACGGCGATATGGGGAAGAGAAGGCGACCGGCGCCAATTTTCACAATGCTTGCGGTGAGGCGTGTGCCATTGGGAAAGTAATTTCAGAGAAATAACATCGACGAAGCTCCTCTGTTCGTGTCTTCCTCTTTCTATTGGATGGGGACCCCAAAAGTCATATAGTTTCCTAATATACACTAGAGGGAACTCTGGCGCTAGTGTCTATGGGAGCTGCAACGCACGGCGCTTCAGCGAGCATCGGAATGATGGTTAGTACACACATTTGTCTAAACTTCGTACTTCTGGCCTGCTTTTGGATCCGTGTGCGTTCGTGTGGCTTGAAGTTGTTTTCTCGAAACGAAAAAGAGCAAATGTTCAGCGGTTGCGCTTCACAACCCTATTCTTTTAGACTTACCTTTCCGAATTGGGTCACGAAGTTCAAAAGGGTTGAATCTTCCTTTCAAAACAAAACCGAAACACAGCAATGAACGAAGCCGCAAGTACGATTCGCCGCCCGCAAGTACGAAGACTATACCCATGGTCGCTGAACGATCGCAGCGACAGAGTCCCCTCTAGTTAACTTTAGGAAACTCTATGCCAAAAAAAGTCACTTCAAAGTGTTAGTCGCATTCAGCGTGTAAATATATGCGGTGACGCAAAGTGCGCAATATTTGGTCGTCATCACTGTTTACCGTCCCAACTTCTTACCTTTCTCGCTCCCTCCCATCTATCTGTGCCCAGTCAGTGTACGATGACACGAATTGTTCCAAAATTATGCAATTATATTTTTCTACTACATCTCATCCAAAACGAGAACAATTAGTTTTGAGACTTGAACATAGAATTTGGGTTCGGGAAATTTCACTGAGTAAAACGCCTTCTGGTTGTCGCGAAGTTAGGCTGTTGACTTCTTGTGTGTTCTCTTTCTTTTTTCCTTCCTTCCTTTCTTTATTTCTCTCTTTCTTTCTTTATTTTCCTTGTACGGGAGGCTATAGACTGACACATCATCGAAAAGTGAGACTGCAAACATTAAATCCCCCTGTCGTGCAATACAGAGTGATAAAACCACGTACATCATTTCCTGTGCTGTTAGGACCAGTACCGTGTCAAAGAAATATTAATTAAAGACACGATATTTCCTTTACAAACTGGCGAAAATGATGTAACCAGAAGCGAAGAACAAAACACAGGAATGCAAACGAGCTTTGAACGGGGAAAACGTAACATCTAATACGGCACTTGCTGTTAATACAGCAGTGACACTCATAATGTTGCATCACCACTTCCAATATCTGCAACAGATGTGCCAGGAAACCACCATAATTAGGCGTCACCATGCCACCTAAACCTAGTTAAGCACTTAATACGAAAATAATCCCCAATAACGAGAAAATCGTCAATGAAATCACACTTTAGCTCCTCTCCCATATAAAGGAAGTCCGTCCATAATCCCTTTAATGAGGTGCGTGATGCTCTGTTTTGTTCCTTGCTATCATCCCTGCAAATCACCATTTATGCCACAACTAAGTTTCCAAAACGTCCGTACCAGGCGTTTAGAAGACGGAAGTTTTCTAATCAATCAATAGCTAAGATAATACAATTAGATGTTTTGTGTGTGACACCGTAGTCATTATGAAGTCAGATGCAGTTGCAAGGTTTTCGATCAGCTACGATACAAAAAATTCCATGTCACCGCAGTGCCGTGTAGCGAACAGCTGCGCTTTTTCACCGAGTGAAATGGCTCATAAATCAGTTACCTACATTAATCAGTCAAAGCCACATAACTAATACAATAAAAATTATTCATCATGTATCTTCAAACTATTGTGGGAGAGGGCATCGCTGTAAGGCCAATCGTCCGACGTGCTGCTTCCTACCCTCCCAACTCGACGTATTTTTCACGCACCGCACTCGGCATACATGCTGGCGCACATTCGAGGCAAGAGCCTTGCTCTCTTCCCTCCTAATTTCATATTTTTGCTTAGTTGTACCTCTCCCGTGCAGGGTTGTGGCTACGCAGATTATTGACCATAATGGTGGTCGATTACTCCTGATCATTGCAAGAACTGCTTACTTCCCAAACCAAAGGCAGGCCCCACTGTGAGGAGCACGCCAGCGCTTCCTTTCCATTTCTGCATTGATCACGGAGCTTTTTTGGCGACTCGATCAAATCAGTGGAGGATTGGGGGGGGGGGGGGGGGGGAGCACTGTAAACATTTGTAATTAAGCTTGGCTTTCCTTAATACAAAGCCCTGCACACCTATTGTAGTCAGTGACACTGAACGGCGAGAAAGCGTGATGTTCGTTAGCTAGCAAGTTTCGGCAATGTGGCTGTGTTAATGAACCTCCAGCTCTAGGTTTCTGTAATTTTCGTGCCACGAATTCGTGAGCTTGTCTTTGACAATAGATGATAAGCATTTGACGCTTTACACTACGATAAAGAGCATTACCCTTTCGCGGCTAGAGTGTTTCCGCTGACTGCGTTTGCTTTCAATCTGCAGCCTCCACTCACGTCGATTTACTGGGGCAATATTTTACCAGGGTGATAGCGCTTTCTCTTCCACGCAAGGTCTTCCCTAAACGTCACGGTGATACCGGGTTATCATCCACAGACGCTGTCTACAGCTGAGTTCTGGTATATCACAGTTTCGTCTTCCTGAAGCAGACGACATGCACTTCAGCAGAAGAGTGTAAACAAACAAAACAAAAACAGCGTGGTCAGTGTGAATTTCGAGCCGACTTCTAAGAGCACGAAACTTCGATAAAAAAGCAACATCACCATTTATAAACAATTGGCTTGGTTAGCCGCTTATTTTGTCTAGCTTACCAAAACCACTCACGCTATGAGAGATTCAGTAGTTGAGGGCTCCGCATAATTTCGGCCGACTGTGGTTCCTTTACATGTGCTCACGTTAACGACGCTGTACACATGCCTCCGTACACTGTTTCATACAGGAGGTCCAACACTGTGCACGAGTGTTATGCAACAAGTTCATCAGAAAATGTATGGCCATGCGCCTCCCACCCAGATTTCGTCGTTAAAAACGTCGCCTCCACGATTGGCTCCGGCTGCGCGCCACCAAATGATCGCAGAGGCCACAATCCAAAAAAACCAAGAGACCCGACATGGTCTAGAATAACCTGTTGACATCCGCATGGCCCAAAGCGTCTTCATTGATTACACAATCTAAAAACGAAAAGAACGTGGCATTACGGGTGGCAAAATCAATCATCTGTCTCTTGATGCGAATGCATCTGCTGCAAGAAGTATCGCTAGCTTCCACGGTGTCGTACCTGATGTAGGAAGTGGAGTATAACGCTTCGGCCTCGGATCGAACACTCTTCTTTTGAGTGACCAATCAAGCACCGCAGCCAATGAGACACCACCGCGGCATATTGTCAACCGGTGCAACACCATAATTCATGTACATCATGCAGATATCCGCTGCAGTATTTGGTTCTCTGAGTAGCAGTATAGCTCTCGAAGCTCGCTGGTCCCAGTTAAGTCGGGTGAAAGCACCTTCGTAGAGAGAAAAAGAATAAGAGAGAGCATACATTCACAGCCGAACGACCATGACAGTGACCGTCGAAACTATTCCCCTCTCCATGAAAGTAAACATGGGAAGTGCGCGCCTCTCACTGATAGGCAGCGTTTAAAAACAGGCTACGCTCCGTGCCCTTCTCTACTACCACGTATGATCATTTCTTTATTTATTTCCTCTCGTTTTCATGATGCACTCTAGGAGAAGACTTTCACTGGCTCCTCCGAATTCAGGTCATGCCTTCTCACAAGGTAACGCGGGGGCCAATCTCTGACGCGTGTGCGTATATATAGGAACTAACCTAGATAGCGGCCTTTTCTTCTTTTTTCGGCCAGACGCCGTCCGCACTGGCGGCCGAAACGCGTGCGGCGTCCTTGAATGGAACGGGTGGAAGGCATACTTCTGTCAATCGGACCACAGGTGAGCACCCATATGTGCATACCTTCTGTACGCATATGTGAACCAAAACAGAACGTTGTTTTACCGTATAAACAATGCAGTGTCGTAGTAGGACGGTGATGCAAGCGGTTTCGGACCCGTGGTCGTGTCGAGATGACTGACTTCACACGCGGAGGAATTTTATACGTGAACTTCACGGTCGATCATTCCGTGGCCCCAAAGCCCCTACCGAAAACTGCGGCAGCGACTGTACAGCTGTTTTTGAAGTATGCATAGAACTACGCATAATTATGTTTGCATGTGTGCAGGAAAGAAATAGGCAGGGCCTGATTTTACGTAACGTTTCACTAAGCTGGTTGCTCATATACACTTAGCTCGCTCATTTTGAATAACGTTTCTCTTAGTACTTTCGATGTTTTTAATTTCTTTTGATTGTCGTTTTCCCTTCTACGTAAACGCAAACTCATTGAGGAAACACGTCGTACGGATATTTCACGAGAAAAACACGCAGAATTTTCGCACAGTGGAGCATTTGATAGGTTGCATGTACGTTCCAGGGTTTTACTGGGCTTTACTTCATTTCTTTTATGCTAGGCAAAATGGACAAGCCCGTCCTCATCTGCCTAATCCTGTGTCCGCTCTTCACGCTCTGCATGCGGCGAGAGCAGCCATCGGAAGACGTATTGGCCTACACAAAGTCGGGCATTCTTCGTGGCAGCACGCAGATGGTTATGGGAAAGGTCGTAGACACCTTCTTCGGCATACCATTCGCCCAACCACCCGTGGATGAGCTGCGCTTCAAGAAGCCCGTCCCAGTGAAACCATGGGCCGGAATCCGAAACGCGACCCAGCTTCCACCACCTTGCGTGCAAATAGACCTCGAGCTCCCAATGGCTTGGACCAAAAGCAAACAGCCCGCGTCCGAGGACTGTCTCTACCTCAACGTGTGGGCGCCGCCGTGCTCCCAGGAGGACTGTAACTGCTCACTGAAGAACGTCCTCGTAAACGTGTATGGAGGTGGTTACAGCGTGGGCTCCAGCGACTGGGACATATATGACGGTGCCGCTCTGGCATCCATCGGAGACGTGGTTTACGCCAACATGAACTACCGAGTCGGCGCTTTCGGCTTTCTCAACGGCAAGGTACCCGACGCGCCTGGGAACCAGGGGCTCTTCGACACCCTTATGGCCGTAAAGTGGATCAAGGAGAACGCCGTAGCGTTTGGTGGTGATCCTGACAAGATAACCCTATTCGGCGAAAGTGCCGGAGCTGTGACCGTCGGTTACTTCCTGGTGTCTCCCTTAGCTAGGGGCATCGTCAGCCGGGTCATCATGCAGAGTGGCAGTCCGTACTGGAGAATCGGTGACAACAGCGACAGCGGACCTCAGAAGCTTCTGAACATGGCCAGAAAAGTCGGTTGCGCCAACGCCTCCACGGACTTTGACCGGGACCACGTGAGCATCATGCAGTGCATGCGAACCAGAGTTTCCGCAGCAGACATTCTCGAGGCCGGTCGTCAGTTGTACGGAAAGAAGCACTCGAGCGCATTCTTTCCGAGTTACGGCGACGATTTTCTACCCCTAGACCCCGTGAAGAGCTTCGAAAGCGGTGACTTCGATGCCAGCACGCCCGTGCTACTGGGAACCAACAGAGATGAAGGATCGGTCTTCCTCTCCACAGTACTCCCCGAGATCTTCCCGGCCGACGGAGCCGCGGAATTGTCGAAGGACGAAGCCGGGTTCTATCTCATGTTGATGTTCCAGTACCTCATGGGCAAGACGACTACGGAAGTGAGAGACATTTACTTCAAACACATGCACAACCCTAACACGTCTGCCGTGCTGGCGGCAGCCTCGGATGCAGTGGGCGACTACGCTTTCACCTGTCCCGTGAACTATTTCGCCAAGGCTGTGTCTCGCAAGGGAAGTAACGTCTATTACTACTATTTCACACACCGTTCGGCCCGCACGAGCCGATCGGAGTGGATGGGAGTTGCCCACTTCGAGGAATTCCCATTTGTCGTCGGCCTGCCGTATTGGTGCGACCTCCATTATCCCGTGGAAGAAATACGGTTCAGCCGGCAAATGATGAACATCTGGGTAACGTTCGCCAAAAACGGGTGAGGATTTCAATGCTGTGCACTCTTACTAAAGATTTCTCGATATGACGCTGGCTCACACGAAGTACACTTTGACTTATAGTTTGTCTTCAACTTCTTGCTTTTGGGATAATTCTACTCATACATTACAGCAGATATTTCGGCAGCAAATATTTTGCAGCAGATATTTCGACAGAAATAATTTTCTTTGCTCGAATGTTCCGCACAATTCTCTCAAGTCAGTAGGATGACGTCTTTACAATTGTTGCTGATATGAAGTTCTTTATTCAGCATCAACTTGCTAAGTGTCAACAATACCCGGTGGTACATCCGAGCAGCCATAACGAAAAATCCGTCAACCATTACACTAAGAAAGTGAACGAATTCTGACAGATTGCTTGTTTAATAACTAAATCGTCAAATGCTCTATTTAGAAGCTGGCACATCAGCACATGAGTCGTGTGTGTGCCGAATGTTTATATTGGTTGGTAAAAAATATCATATCCCAAACGCATAGATGAACGTTGAAAAAAAAAGTTTTTTTTTGTGACTGCGGTCACATATGTCTCTGTGTATGCACACTAACTTATAAAACAATCACACCTCGAACGAAGAAGGGTGGAGCGTACATTCCAATTAATGGGATGCCGCCAAAATGCATTCCTTCAAAAGTGAGCGTCATACGTAATGAAAGAAGACGTTTCCGTGCTAATTTGGCACCTCCGGAATGATGTATTCCTGACTTTTCTCTCGCAAGCACGGTCTTTGGGTGAGCGTTTTGTTTGTTCCACACCTAACGATGTAAGCCCCCTCCAAGCTATTATTCGTGAAAAATCACCCAGCCTTCCGTAGTTCTAACCAAAAACCAATAACATAAACATATCGTAAGTGTTGTTTGCGATCGTATCAATTGACAAATACTGTGTTGTATTATTACTAACGTATTGTGTTATTGTACCTATATTATGACGTTAAAAGAAAACGTGACCTGAAAAGAAAAGTCACAGTTCTCGAAGGCTTGTTCGCGGTGACGCAGCTAAGCCATTGCAGCTCATGTTTTCGTGGTTCACGTTCGACATCACAGCAGGTCGATGTAACTTATCCGGTACTCAGACTCGTACCAAAAGGCACGCATGTATTGTAGTGACGTGTGCGACCTCATTATCAACATTAGGATATAATAGGAGTGGTATATTTTGCAGCAAAATAAAATGAGCCAATTAACAAATGTGGCTGTAAGCGCTTAGTTCCCTTCGGCACTGTAGCGCTTTGTCGCAAGCGCCAATGCTACTGATGCCTGACACAGGACGTAGATTCTTACACTGCATGCCAAATGCATCATATCTTCACTATATTTCTCCGCGTTAAGTGTTGGAGTAAGATTAATTTATTTTTCTTGAGCCAAGACAACGTCATGAACACATAGCGGGGTGTGATGACGTAGTTATGGGCGATTCGGCGATGAAGAGGGGAAAAAAAGAAGAGAATGTTCTCTTTCGCGGAGTCAATGTTATAAATAAAGCTCGCTCAACAAAGCACTTATTAATTGTATCCAGCGCAAACATTGTCTACCACTGACCTGAAAATTTTCGTCATCTCGTCAGTCGATCTAACCTCCAGCTGGCCCCTACTGCGTGTATTTCTTTAACTTGATCGTGTGCACTCGCTTATCTTAACAATACTAACACATGCTTCTCCCAGTCCGTGCACGTCCTCTAAACAATCTTTCCTTGAGAAGTGCTGCACTTCAAGCTATTTTTCTATACTCTACAGACTACGGCATCTGGAGCGCGTAAAAAAGTCAGCTGTCTGACAGATTTTGGTTCTAACCTAATTAGGCCCGCGAGTATATTTTACCGCTGTGGTAGCGCAGTGGCTAAGATGGCGCTGCTAAACACGATGACGTGGGTTCGAATTCCGTACATGGTGGTCGCATCTCAAAGGGAGCCACTTGCAAGAGCACCAGTGTACATAGATTTAGGTACATGCTTAAAGAAACCTAGATGATCAAAATTAATGGAGAATGGCGTGAACCAATCAGCAAAAGGCTCTATAGCACGTAAAATCTCACAATTTACTTTATCTTATTTGTAAGGTTTCTTCGCAAAAGCTTCTATTTTGGTAGTGTACTGTTATCGTTAATCAGGTAATTTCGAATGATCTATTGAAAGAAGTGGGCATGTTGTGTAATCCTCCAACGCCTGTTTTGTCAGAAATTGACAGCTTTTTTTTTTTTGCGACATTATTTCAAGTTTATCATGCTTGGCAGACTGCAGATCATTCCAAAATGACACCAACATTAAACCCAGCACCTCCAAAAGACGTACGCGCGTCTACCACGAACCTGAAGGATTAGTGACCTGACATTCATTTACAAGTTCAGTTGACAAAAAGCGAACGCCACCTTCTCGCAATCTGCGCAGGTCAAACGAAACACCGGCAAACGTGCGGAGTCTTCCAGGGTACAGCATGTCTTGTAAACCTTCCTGGAAGGGGAGGGGGGGGGGGGGGTTACGAAACATCCCGGAGGGACCAATCGCCTGAGTGCTACGCGTGCCTAGGCGTCGACGACACGTGCAACATATATGCGACCGATAGCCACCCTCCCACCTCAGGGCCTCCAGTCTTACGACGCCTCGCCCGGCACTTCTCCGTTCGATACCAGTCGCATTGCCAGGTGACGCAAAGTGTGCGCGCCGTCAAGAAAGCGCCAATTTCGACACAGAGATTATTTGTAAGACGCCCACGTGGCTTGAACGAACGATCTCGTCCGTTTTTTTAACGTTTTCTAGATTCCACGAAATCAATCCAAGGCTGCTTCTGATATAAGGCGGTTATCTAGACACGAGGACGACCTAATGTTTGCTTTTTCAGCTGTCGCTGTAGAGAAGGGGCATTGAATGAAAGACCTGGATATCCGAAGAGATAATGATCTGAAGGACAGTTTTTTGTTGTCCTACAGTAGAACTTCTTGCTCCTCCTGTTTTACTACCAGGCGCTGGAAGTGCCGTTCGTAGTCGAACATACACGATCATTACTTTGTACACTGTGCACCCAACAATTCTTGTGTGTGCCCAACGTGTATGTTTTTTTTTTCCTTTTCCCTATAACTCTGCTTGGCCCAACGTTAGTTATTGGGATAAATGCAATCGATTGCGAAAAAAAAAAACAAGACGGGTTTCGAGTTCGAGTCATCACAGAAAGCTGTGCAAGGGATCATTTGTGGGCGAAGTGAATCCAGCAGACAGTTTCCAGCAGAAAGAAAGCGCGTAGGGGACAATCATTGTTGACTTTAACCAGTGTAGTAATCGTTCATTAAGTTGAAGGGAATCAACGTGGACTTAAAATCACCTTACCCTGTGTGTGCCCTCTGTGGGATGTGAACCCATAACCTTCGATTTTAGCCCTAAAGGCTGCGGTTGCGATACCGGCATTGGCGGTTGCATTTCGGTGGACTGCCCGACGTCAGTGCATGCCAAAGAACACCATTTGACCGAAATTTCCGGAGCCCTCCACTATGGCGTGTCTCATAATCATATCGTGGCTTTGAGAAAGAAAAACCCCAGGCAATAATATGATTAACCCACCTTCAAATTACGCTTGCGGTCCTCTACACCTGTTGAGATACGACGGAATGCGCTACCCAATCCACTTTGTTGGGTTATCGCTCCATGCGTAATCTCGAAGAGTGATAACCAGCGCCGCTTGCAGCGAATGCGGCGAGTGTGTAACAATCAACCACTGACAGAAACTGTCATTTTTCGTTCACTTTAATTCCTTTTATTTACGCAATAATTGCTACACTACAGTTAGAGACAACAATGAATACCTCATGTATACTTTCCCTGGCCATTATAGACTTATTTTATAGTCGTAAAGATATATTTTATGATGTGCATTTCGCTCTACTAGCGAAGGCTTGTCACTCCCGGCAAACAGCATATTCAAGCGCTGTTTGCATGCGCTGTAACGCGTGAAAAGTGGGCTCAGCTCTTTTGACGTACACCCAGCTCTCTTGGCATATTGGACAAGCCCCAACACGTGCAACTAGGACCTTGTCTCTCTTTAAAGCACGACGGGTGCTGCCATTAGTTTTGCAAATATACAGCGCCGAGAAGATTATATGTCCTATTCATTCTAGTTGTCTAAAAAAGACACGAGCCCCTAGAAAAAAAAGATTATTTTCTAAAAGACCATGTGACTTCTCATATTTCCTATTTAAAAAAGGGAGAAAAAATAACACGTGTAACAGTTTATTGTTATTCTCTCTGCCTACCTCTCCTCCACACTGTTTCGCAGGAGGCCTCCCAGAGTGAACGGCACTGAGTGGCCGAAGTACTCGGAACAGGACCCGTACTACATGGAGCTCAACCCGAAGCACTACCACGTGGGTCGTGGCGTGCACGAGCACAGCTGCCAGTACTGGAGGAAGCACATCATTCGAGACACCTCATGAAAACGGAAAACCTCATTCTGCTCCAGTTCTCTGGAAACCAAAACAACTGAGCATCCCGCTCTCTTTATACGTACACCAATCATTCGTTCCTACGCAACGCATTTTTTTCCATTAAGTGAAACTTTACTTCTTTTCAAGGAAAGCAGGTGCCAAGACAGACATCAATGTCCTCTCTGGCTAAGAAACTTACAAGGTACGGGGACAAATAATGCAAGAAAGTGTAACTTGTGTACAAGTACTTCGAAACAATACCGCGGTGAATTGAATGTAATATATAATATGTGGGCTTTAACGTCCCGAAACAGTCATATGATTATGATAGACGCCGCAGTGGAGAGCTTCGGAAATTTCGACCACCTGGGGTTCATTAACGTGCACCCAAATCTGAGCACACGGGCCTACACCGAAAATGCAGCCGCCGCCAGAATGCGATTCCTGCGGGTCAGCAGCCGAGTGCCTTAGCCACTAGACCACTGCGGTAGGGTCCCGCAGTGAAATGTAGCAGAATGAACAGGATCACAGAGAAAGTAAACGTACGTCAAGTTTAGACAAGAAAAAAAAAACGAAGACGCGCACCACGCATGCACCTTCCACAGCACGAAAGGCACAAATAAAACATTGTTCATTCGTCTTCACAAGCACCAAAACATAATCCGAGCCACAAAGAAAATTATCAAAGCTGACACTTTCTCAAGCAAGAAAAGGTCATTTTAAACGTACCAGCATACTTGCCGAGTAGATCTACGAAATAAATATGATATTCTGAACGTTCCAATACGTGTTGCGGATTGGTAATTCGGTATATTTTAAACGTCTAAATGACTGGAAATTTTTATTGCGAAAAAGACCGGAATATTTTGTTACAAAGGAAAGCTCACTTTTTTTTATTGTATGATATTTCTGTCTTCGTCAAATGTATGACTTAGTTGCCACACGTCATTAAGGCAAATTAAAATTTCTTACCCAAAACACGTCGGCCACCGGATGCGTGGACATAAATGATATTTGCCGTGTTTCTGAAATATCACTGCTTTGTGTTAAAATCTCTAAGAGTACGCAATGGTCACATTTCATATAAAATGATTTTTGCCTATTACATAAACATTTTTCGAGTAAATATACAGCCCAGAAGTTCTTCGCAGGAAGCTGGCACTGCTTTAACTTAGGACGAAAAAAAATTCAGTGCAAAGGTCAATGAAAAATGCTGAGGAACAACTTTATCTTGGCTGCAGTAATGCAGTATCCTTATTAAACTTTTCGTTTCTTTTTTGGCCCTTGGCTCCTTCCTCCCTCCTTGTGAATGAAAGAAATAAAGCTTCACAGTAAACATATCTCTCGAAATTTATCTCAGCATTCTCTCAAAAAGCCAATCTGACGCTCTTGTACAATCTTAAAAACCAATTGAAGCCTCCAAATCTCCGAACTAGACGAGCTCATTTTTTGTAACCGCAGTGTATACTGAACAGCATTGTATACGCCAGGCTCTGACCACGAGTGCCTTTACGTTGAAGCTTCTTTAACAGTTTTTGCCGACGTGTTTTGCCGGTATAGAGCCAATCCTATCGTATAATATGAGACGCATAAATAGTTTTCGGTGAATAAATATAAAAAACGAGTTTATTTATATATGTACGAAAAATGCTCGCCAACGAAAAACTACTCAGCTTATGAGTACGCACGTCACAGATACAACTATTCCAGCAGGCCTCTGCAACGCTATACTTCAATGCGTCCCTCGCGTTATCATCGACGGCTTTGTTGCGTCGACTGGTTAATGGCTGGTACATGGATCAACGTGGGCGTATAAAAAGACATTTCGAGCGTTGTCCTGTTTCTTTTTTTTTTTGCCTCAACTTTTTCGCATTTTGACCAGGTTGTTAATTTTTAACGAGAAACGGCCTGTTTTCACCACCGCTATAAGGCACTCCGTTTTGTCATTATCATCTATTTCTCTTGCGGACACGATCCCCGCTTCATTTCTCTATAACGCTTTAATAACCCTCTTCCTTATCTGTGAGAGCCATTTATGTAGCTGCAGCTTTATCCACTGACGTTGTTCTCTGCCAAAGCAGCCACAACACTTCCACACACGCCCCTTCGAAGTCATTACCTCAAGGCAAGTCCACATGCCTAGCCTGTTCATACGACCAACATGAGAATACTTAATAATACAAACAAACCCTTCAATCCCACCTTGCTTTTTTTTGTGTGTGTGAGTTGCAGTCACCGAGTAAAGATTGCGCAATGTGTGTGGTAAAGCCAGCCATTATTGAGAGTCTTCAGGAAGCAACACAGACGTGGCTACCTGAATATAGTGCCACAGCATGGGGGAAAGTGTACATCGTCACTGAAATAGCCAGCGCAGCTTAGACGTCTCGCTCTCGTAACTTGCTAACCTTGACACACTGTGCGTATTAAATGCAAATAAAGTAACTGTCATCTACCCTGTACCGTATTTTCTCGCGGGATAGTCTGATTTCATTCGTCAAATGTGTTTACAGGAAAAGGAGCTTTGAATGATCCAGGGTTATTGATACATCTTTATATACAGGGTGTCACATATAACGTGTACTGTTTATTAATCGTTTTACGAAAACAAAATGAAGCAGCTATTGTTCAGAATTCATTCCTGAAGCTGCCAATGAGTTCGTAGTTGATGACAACAAAATGTTACTGTTTAATTCGTTGACTACATGTGTAATTTCCATGACGGCAATGAAGAATTAGTTAACAAGTATAAAGAACGAATTATAGAATGTTTTCAGTAAGATAACATTTGTGCAGTCATTTTTTTTTTTCGTTGAAAAAGAGTGCCCCTCTCCTGGCAGAAGGCATAATATTGTGGTCATGCACGAGCAGGAGCCATCGAATCACTTTCGTATCCCAGAGCCGTCGGGCCCAAACCGGTTTTTCCGATAGGAAGAGCGGTACCATGATTGGTGCTCGTTGTTGTGAATGATCATTTCTCGAAAAGGTAACCTCTTCTACCCGCCTTCTTCTTTTACTCCTCTTTTCCTAGATGATGATCCTCAAGCGAGATGACCTAGCAAAGCTAGAATATGGGGCCAGTATTGCTTTGTCGCAAATCATCGTTTCTTTAGCGCTACAAACTCAGACATGACCTTCATCGACCACTTGGTTTTCTTTATTTCTTCCAAGCTTCAATCCCCAAAGCACGCTGGGCGTGGAAATCGTGATAGGGCGGCTCTTGCGCCATGAAATACGGTATATCAACGTCTAATTATTTCCTCTCCCATTTTCTCACTTTCGCATGCCCAGCGTCTCGTCTCGGCAGAGACCTTGCATGCGAGTACACGAGGTAGACAATGAGGACTGACCATCGCGTGTGTGATAGTGGACATAGAAAACTCAAAATGCAAACGGAGGCTCATTCAAATCGCACCTACTGCTTGTGGGAAGGTTGTTAAGGAAACGGCCTCCAACTTTACCTTTCCTTAGGCGCGGATCTTTGTTGGCACGTAAACACTCTCTTTCTCGCACTTCCAAGCAAAGCTTTCCCAGTGGTCTGCCCAAGACGATAAAGCTCCCAAGGTAGTTTACACACCACAGTAATCCGTCAAGAAGGTATTTACACGTGACTTTTAATAGCAAAATTAATACCACGCCTACTCATTAGTATCATCCGAGGTAAAAACAGCAAGGTTGGTTATTCTGCCGGTGAGGATGAGTCATCTTGACGTTGCGAAGGAACCACCTGGTAGATTTCTTGAACTAAACGTGTGAATTAGTGCAGGTATGAACACAGGCCAATAGACGTAAAAGGCACCGGATTAGATGTCTTGCATGTGCATATATGTCACTATGCGGAGGCACGATGTTCCCGTTTCGTCCACGGCAAACTACGCCTAAAGAATCACTATATTACTCACTCAACAGATTGACAATGCTGTTACAGCAACATATAAGCGTCATTCGCCAGCAGTCAGCTGCAAGTTACAGATTTTATCCAGTGCTAGTTGTATGCGAGCAAATATGGCAACTGAATATGCTTATAGACGTTCGCTGTGCGATGCAGTCCATATCCGATACGCATAATCATATCCCATATAAAAAATAGGTATGCTATATACAGACATTCGGTGGAAGATACAACAAAAGCTACCAGTGGCACAACGACCACAACAATGCGGTACGACAACGATTGCTTTGAGAAACGGTGATTGTATCTTCATTTGAAAAAAAAAACAAGGTCTTTGCTCAGCACCTTGTTACAACTTCTTTGATCTCATAGGTTATAGCTGTTAAGCAGCAGCCACATCAGGCGAAACAACAAAAGACACATGCGTATTAATAAAAACGACCTACGCATAGCAGCTGCGCACCTCCAGAGAAGTGAAGCCGTCCCCAAATATGCAAACTCGAACCGTATTGCATGCTCACTGCAGTAAAGTAATTTGCATTTAAATGAAAGGCGAATGTTCTCCTTTCTCGAGTCGATTGGCATTGAGTAAGCCCGTTAACTGCACGCTTGCAAAGAGGCACTCAAGTCTACTATATTTCCATTATGCATTGCGAGTACTTTCGCCCACCTTCCCGAGACCTTGCGAGCTTACGAAAGGTGCGCGAAAGAAACGAGGTTATGAGGTTATTCATTGATGTGGGCCACACATTTCAGAGACACTCTATAACACGCTGTAACACAGCTGTAAATTGCACCAGCGCAATGTTGGGAGCTCTGAAGCACGATCATGACAGCCTCTTGCTGGATGTACTTAACTAAAGATGTCAATGTAGCTTTCTTCGCCATACTCGACAGCCTTGTCATCTACATTCTTTTTGCACAACTAGCAAATCAGGATGAGATCAAAACTGTCAAACTATTTCTTTAATAATTGACTGGGATTCAAAAGCAAAATAAAAACTGAAACTGCATTCAGTTCAAGAGTAACGACTAACCACTCTTCTGGAGTGTCCTATGTTTTCCTTATTTTCAGTACGAGCGACAGCGTCGGTGTGGTGAACTTTGCATTAGTACCCGA